TTTTTTTCTGAATTTAAGTTTGAGTTTAATCTAATATAAAATTTAATTTGAATTTAGTTTGAGTTTCAACTTGAACTAAATCAAACTTTTTTAAAATACTAACTATAATTTTACTTATAATTATTTTATATAATTATTATTTAAAATTTGAATTTGAATTAAATAATACTAAAATATTTATTTGAATAATTATAAATATAATATATTTTCATAAATAGTAATATTTTATTATAAATTATTTTAGTAAAATTTGTAACTCTAGACAAGAGTTACAATTTTACTTATAATCATTTTGTATAATTCATATTAAAAAGTTAAAAATATTGTTAAAAACTAAAATATTTTAATTTTTAAATAAAAATTAATTGTCAAATATTTCAATTTTTTGTTATACAATATCTTATAATCCAGAATTGAGATTATAACTTTACTTAGAATCACTTTAATAATTTGATTTGACTTGAATCAGACTCAAAATCAAACTCAAACTGAACTTGAACTTAAAAAAAAAAAGTATAGTTCAAGTTCGATTCAAATTTTCAAATCTACTTCGAAACCAAGCTCAAGTCTGGTTCGATGTTTCATACTACAGATCATGATATGTATATGTGCATTTATGAAAAAAATTTTATAACAAGTTTGAATATGGGCCATTTTTTATGAATAAAGATTTATTTGATAATTCTCTGACAAGGAATCATGATCATATAGTTGATGCTTCTGATAACATATACACAAGTTAAAAAGAATTCAAAGACCAGTATTTCAATGAATGGTGGAGTTGGACCTAGATCAACAAATCAGTTGGAGGTTTTATCCGGGATTTGAGTTTAAAATCTTTCGGGCTCTTTCTATTCTTTTTTGAATAGTAGTTTCTGAAGTATTTTCAGGTAGTTGTTTTTCCGAAATTGCTATTAGCATCATTCACATTATAATATTTTTTCATAATAGAACTTGAAGCGTTTCGTTATAGCTATTCCGAAATCGTAATATTGAATAACAGCCTGGTTTGGTTTCTGAGTATCCTGTTGTAATTTTATGATCAATTTGACTCGCGATTAATTTTGCTTAGTCAACGAGTTTTACCTACTAATAAAAATGTTCTACTTAAAAGAATTGTGTTAATATAAATGATTATAAGGCTAATAGCGATGATATTTAGCACAACTTGTTTAAAATCAACATTTTCAAGTTAAGGAAAGTCTGACTTCTAAGGTTTAATTGATGCTATTATTTGAGATTGAAAAAAATAAATGTCCAGTATGTTAAATTCATTTTTTTTCCTTGAATATAACTCGCTTTTTTTCGTAATAAATGATTAGACCATTTAACCTTTCTATATTCTATATTTAGGGATGCCAAGTTTTCTCTTTATGCATGCAAAAAGATAGATTGTTATCTAATTGATATCATGATTCTGATGAAGAAAAGCTCTTTTTTTTCATTTTATCTTTCTCAAAAACATTTCAATATAAATATTCTCAATTATCAACCAAGTTGCGAAAGCAATACTTCATTTTCACATAGTATTATCAAAAATAAAAAAATAAAAGATGCACAACACTTCTCTGATTCGCAACTCATTAGTTGCTCTTTTATTAGTATACATATCATTAGCTGCTATTGTTTTCTCAAATCCAGTTCCATTTAAGAAAGAAAAAGAAGCTGCTGCGGCACCTTCAGGTCCGTTAAAGGATGTCGATTTATCGCCTTATAATGTTGATGCAAACACACTAAATGGAATTGTTACCGAATATTCGAAACCACCCACTCCAGGTGAAGATACAGACGATAGTCAGCTGGTTGGAAATTTATTGAATAATTTCATGAACCCGAATCAGAAGCAGCAGACTAAACCACAATCCCAGCCACAATCTCAACCTCAATCACAGCCACAGCCACAATCACAGCCAAAATCTCAACCTAAATCACAGTCACAGCCCCAGCCACAATCTCAACATCAGTCGCAACCTCAGTCTCAGCCACAATCTCAACCTCAGTATCAACCTCAGTCTCAGCCACAATCTCAACCTCAGTATCAACCTCAGTCTCAGCCACAAAAACAGGAACAACCAGATCCATCAAGTGTCATTCCAATTGCTCCTGCTGATAGTGGAACTCCTGTGGCTCCGGTAGTGAATGGTAATATTGATAACAACCTAACGCCTCCCACTGATGCCATCGTTACTGAGACCCCAATAGTAGCTCCTAATGCTGCCTTAGCTGATGGTGTACCTCCTTTAATTGCATCTGCTCCAAGTTCTTAAGAATAAGGGTGCAAATATAATTATATCATAAGCATATGCAAATTTAAATATATGCTCTAAAATAATAAATGTACGCGATATTGAATCTCAATAATAAAAATGACGAAGTATATTTGATTAAATTCTTTATTTCGTGAATTACATCAATTAAATAAATAAGAGAATCAAAATTGCTAAAAAAATTTTTTTTAGGATTGTGAATATGATGATTTTTTTGTAATGTTTGCAGTGCAAAGATTTTTGCACTGACCTTTTTTTTACTAATACAACAGAAAAGAAAAAAAACCAAAATCAACATTGGAGGTCAGTGAAGCAGTGTGCAAAAATAAACATAAAATTATTAAACCGTCAAAACATACACCTATTCAAAAATGGGTTAAACTTTATCATTATGTAATGATCACCCTCCAAACTCTAAAATACAAAATAAAAGCCTTTAAATTGTACATGTGCAATTTGCGAAAATCGAGAGAAAAAAATTACAAGAATAAAAT